AGAGAGTAACAAATACGGGAAAATTTACAAAAGCGTAATCAATAAATAATTAAAAGAATTAAGTTGGGCTTTTAACGGGCCTATGGATCTGGAAAAATTAAAGAGACAAAAAAACTGATAAGGAAATATTCGATCTCTTGATTCAATGAAAATTATTCAATATCGATCATGTAGTCGTCTTCTTCGTTGGTAGTCTTCTATGATAAAGCCATGTGTATCAGTATTCTTGTTTTTTTTTTGTTTTGCTACACCACCCATTTTTGTTTTTGTAACTTGGTTTCTCACGTTGGGTAAGTTAATATTTGATCTCGGGAACGATTTCGATGACTAATCTTTTATATTCGGAACTCGTAGTTTTCGACTCAAAACAAATGTCACATATTTAAAAGAAACAAAAAATGTCACATCACTTGCATATATCGAAGAGAGGAATCTTCTTCACCCTGTGAATCGAATCTACCGTAAACAAACCCAAAAGAAACACAACTTTTAAAACCAAACTGAAAAAAACACAGCTTACATCACCCACAAATTAAGCTATACAAACTAATTAATGACGGCTACAAGTAATGTGCCACCTTTTGGCAACACTACTCGTAACGTCCACACAAGCCTCACAAAATATGAAGAAAGAAGCATGCATGTACATGCAACAAATTAAAACCAAACCAAACCCAACAATTAATTATTGACAAGTAAACACAAACTAGACCTATTGGTCGAGAATTCACACCATGGATTTCAATTGAAGTCACGGACGTGGAAGGAATTAGGGTTCTTGATGACGATGTCGTACATGTAAACGGAGTTGAACTTGGAGAAGTCTCTTGGTAAGGAGATGAGATCGATGGAGGAACGTTTGTGGTACTGAATGAGATCCGAGTCTCCATTGAAGTATCTCTCCCACCCAAGGCTCCTTAGGATTTGTTCGAGTGAGGAGTAAGAAGTGACGACTTCACCGGTCGGCAAGTAAACCAAGACATTCCTCCGGCCGTGCGTCTGGTTGGTGGCTCCACCGGACTGGTTCGGATTCTCCACTAGACGTATCACTCCGTTGTTGAACACCCAAACGCCTGACATGGCTCACAAAATGTGTTTTTGCTATGT